CCTTGACTCCGTCTCGGTCCATAAACACGCAAAAAAAGAACTTGGCCAATATCCAGCCATCTTGACCTCACACTTGGTCAATAACCCATATATATATTTTGCCGGATTATACAAAGAGCATTGGCTATCAGTGGAGATCATCATTGTATAGTTATCCTTTACAGATGATTGTATGTAATGACAACAGTCATTTTAAAATTGTCGAAGATGCGTCTGGTAACCTTCGCTACATGTAGCTCAAATTGGTCTTAGTCTGTCTTCTAGGGCGTCGTTTTCAAACAAATCTTCATATATCTTTGTTCCCGTACTTAACAATTATTCCACGAGCGCGCGTTGGATATGAGATGGTAGATAGCGAACGACGCGCCTAACGCCGAGTTGGCTATAATCGTAATTCCACAAGAGCCAGTGGAATAATTGTTTTGTTAAAAACGCCTCCAAAATACAGAAAACTAAACTAAAATAAAAATAAAAACGTCCCCCAAAATTACGCGTACAATATTCGTAGAGCATGGTATAACTGCTCATATACAATCAAGGCTAAGCCAATAAAAACTCTTGAATTACATCATCCAGTGCCTCTAGTGTTTGGAGATTTCCTTTAATTTGAAGATGTTCTAATGATAACACTTAACCCTGCGGTATTTAACGTTAGACAAGATTTTAGGAGTCCTCCCTTCCTTCCTAACGAGTATGAAGTTAATTGTCTCTCAAACGTCTAGGAGGCGCACTTCACCTTCGTCATAGTCATAGTCATAGTCATAGTCATAGTCATAGTCATAGTCATAGTCATAGTCATAGTCATAGTCATAGTCATAGTCATAGTCAGTCAGTCATTTTTCTTGGGCAATTCTGTCCAAGGGGAAAAGGTGCACTGAGATTTACTCCTTGTGAAGCACCAACCCATGAGATAGGGACAGACCACACCGGGTGCTACGTGCCCTACTCCATTACATGCATTGTGGGTCACATGTGCTCATGCCCAGCTCTGGAATTATCAACTAACTGGACACCAGGCTTTATCTGGAATGTCTTTGTTATTTGCATCGTTTAATAGAGCTTGTGTGTGAGTAAGTGTTCGGGTGGTACGCGGAAGCGCACAGGGACACAGCACTTTTCTGTGCCCTGCCGGTTCACTCGCAGCTCCATGCGTTGTATAGGACATTGACATGTGCGGCAAAATGTATGGGGAAAGTAAAAAAGTAGTTATTCAATGCGGCGCATGTCGGCCATCCCTTGAAGGATCAAAGTACCCTACCACAAGTGCTTATCCCGTGTAATTACATGAAGCAGCTAAAGAATGATGTGTCCTAGCTCTTGGATGGTACGTCATCGCATTCCCACCCTCCCCGTCAGCATTTTTTCTGGTCGCTCTAACTAGTCTACCAGCACCTATTATTTCATACTGCTAGTTGAGAGAGGGAAGGCCTTGAAAGTTGATAGCTTTTCGTGTTTCCCATCAAAAACAGCAGACACTTTCATTAAAAAAAATGTACACCACAACATGCAAAGAACAACTCTTGTACACCTCTGTTAATATATATTTCACTACTTAATTCGAGTGTTTGACAACATCAAGTTAAAATAAAGCTGCCAAGTATAAATACATTTAGTTATTTCACGTTAAAACTCATCCTTGTAATTTCTCAACATCAACTCCATCTCGTCCGAGGTAAAAATTACTTCCTGTCTTGTCCAAATGATAAATTACTTTGGCAATCAAGACAAGCGCATATCTCGCGACTTTTACCTCCATAACGAGATGGGAAATACCGCTTATGCAGTTCTATTATTTTACAAAATAGATCCAAGGAATAGAACAATCATATCTTGGGAATAATAAAAATCAGTTTCAGTAAAAATATATAATTGGATCAACAATGGAGGGTTCACTCGGAGAGCTCAAGGACGAAGACCTTTACTTCAACGACTAAATCTATTCTACTTGCAATTCAAGCCAAGTTGTAATCTCCTGATGAAAAGAGCCGGACAGATGTTGCGTGTAAAGAAGAAAGAACGGAAAAAAAAAAAAGGTTAAAAAAACACATAAATGAAACCCTAATCACCAACAGCGACTACAAAGGGCTGGAAAACTAACCCCGTTATAACGAATTTCCTCTTCTAATAAATCCTGTTTCCTGGCCCACCCGAAATATTTGCAGCATGCAAATTCCCTTGATTTAATTAATATTAAAATTCTTTCCAATGAAATACATGTGCGTTTAACACGCAATTTCTATTCCTTTGGATGAAGTCATCATTTAACAATCAGAATCGAGACATTTCTGTCAATTTGCCACATGGCCCGGTTCTTCCATGAATCGAGGTTCATTGAGTAATACCGTTATATTTATATGTCGGACAGAGAACATGTCAAGTTTCCAAAATACGAGTGTCATTTCTCGAAGTCAAAATGATAAATACGTTGAAACCAGTAGTGATAAAGTTACGATTTTATATACAGACTTAAATCTGTCGCGATATTCTCATGTGTCAACTCTGCTCCGGTCTTTCAGATTCTTGCTCGGCCTCATCGTTTGAACCATTTGATCCGTTCTCAAGTGACCCAGTCTTCCTCTCAGTTGAGTGGCCGTTAGTGAGGACTGGACCGGGTTGGGATGTGTCACAGTCATCGAAGCGTAATCGTTTCTGAGGAAGCTTGGGTGGACTGTGCACCGCTGCTCGCATTGACGCATTGATTCTGGAAAGGCTCTCGCGGTCACCAGACTAAACGACAAAAACAAAGACAAAAACATGAAATTAGGACAGGAACAGTGGACGAATGAAGAAGAGAAAAAGTAAACAGAGCTCACAGTTTGTCCTGCAACATTGTTATGAACAGGACACATTTTTGAAAGAGCTTCTTTTCTTCAGTTTTCCCTTAAAAATTGCTGGATACCATTCCTTATAAAGCCAAGAATGGCCACACATCATTGAATGAACTGTAGGTTATGTTTCGTGTACTAAAAAATGTTCATCTGGGCCGGATTGTTCAAAACCCAATTAAGCTAACCCAGGATTAGAGAAAATTCTGATTTCAGTTTTAACTTTTCGGTAAGGTTTTCTGTTGATATTGTTTGCCCTTCAGTTTTGAGTTTGAATAATCTCAAACTACACAAAACATAAGCAGTGAAAAACATTTTTATACTAGAAAAATTAATACGTCGTTTACCTGTTAATCCTGGATTAGCGCTGACCGCCTTCCGAACAACCCAGCCCTGTATATTAACCACATGGGGTGCTTCACATTTGGTGAAAAATTACGGAAATTTCGGTTCGAAGAAAAATGGCAATGGCAAACGCTTTTTTAATTCGCTCCACTGGAAAATTCCTCGACTTAAAAGACTCCTACAAAGGAAGGACCGTTTTCCTGGTTAGAACATTACGAATAGAAATTCGTGTTCCATTCACCGGTGAGAATATTTTGCACGGCTTATCCGGCCACGCCTTTCGGTTTTCACGACCATAGGTTCTTCGCGACACGTTCAATTAAAACATATTTTTGTAAATGGCGAGCAACCATGATATTACATTCAAACAACTTACCCCTGGGGACTCCCCGAAGCTGTACAATGACCTACAATGAGACAAATAAAAAAAAACATCTTCAGTTTGGGTACAATTTTTCTATTCAAAGTTTGATACCAAAGTTAAGGCCGAGTTACGGCTAAGGGTTTACAACATCGAGAAAACGCAACTGATGATTCAATAATTTCATGTCAAACAATGTACTGAAGAATGAGAATACCAAGTTGATTACATTAGTTGCCATACATTTAGTTTACACCGACGAGAAAATAACACATCCTAAAAAGCCGTTACTGATCTAAGCAGTTTCTTAATCAGAGTTCGCTCACCAAAGGAAACCGAGAGCTTTGGAACTGGATATGTTGCGGACGCTTAAAAATTTCGGACAGTTTTATTTTCGGACGCTTTTCTTCGTCCGAAATTAAAATCGTCCGAAACGTTTTTTCAAGTGATGATTAATATTCTTGTTCCTTACTCACCTTGATTTCGGTGTCAACGTTTCACTTGGAGAGTTTCGCAAAGGAGACAAGTAAAAATTCTTTTTCCCAGGAATCCTATTGAGGCGTTAACAATTACACCGTGTCACTGCTACCTCAACAGTAACTGATACATATGTCAAATGATTCAAGCACGACGGCAAACAAACAAACAAAACAAACAAACGAATGTCCCGCCAACCAAAAGGAAAGCAAGTAAGAAAGTGAGCGAGATACAAAGGCTGAAGAGGCAGGCAAACAAAGGAACAAAAGAACGAACGACTGACCAAGAAAAAAAGCAAACTAATAAGAACGAATGAACAAATGAATGAACAAATGAAAACTTTCCTTTCCTGATGCAAATATCATCATCGTGTACACTGGAAAAAGTCATTATTTTCCCCTTATATCGTCGAGTTTAAATCGTTAAAAACATGCTGCCTTACTTGAAGTATTGCAACTTATGTTTGCATCTGCATGTGAATTATCAATGGTTTTTAACCTACATACCTCATTGAACTCTTGGGAGCAGGGGAAACAGGCGGATTCTACAACGAAAAAGATAGGACTTTTAACACGATAACACGATAAAGGGCGTGTTCTTCTTGGCCGTTTTTGATAATAAATCCCCGCAGAAACATAGGGGGAGTTGGAATTCTTATAATCCAATCAGAACGTTGCACACAAGCGAATTGAAGTCAGCACGTCAGCTTATTTCCATGAGCATAAGTCATGTGGCTTATCAGCACCGATACACTGCTGAAAATCACGAGTTTAGTATATTCTCGAACATGGAAATTCCACGGAAAAAGGCACTTGCCATTCTGAGTGTAGAAAAACAGGGTCCACAACAATCAGTGAGAAGAAATATGATTCAACTGTACAATAAGCTGCCTCACCTTGTTTGGTGCGAATTGTAGAATAATTGACTTCATGGCGACCATGTACACCTTGTTGTAGAATCCAATGATGGAGTCTTGTTCTTTACCAGCAGTTCCCCTGTACACCTGTTGAAAGACAAGAACAACAAAATTATTAACGCTCTCTATGAGCTCAGAAGGGTATAGGGTAAAAGAATGAAGGAGAAGCGACGAATGGCCTTGTCCTTTTCCTTTTAACGGAAGGGTGAATATGGGCCTTTTGTGTCTTGCGCTCTTTGCTGAGTCTTTTAATACGGGCCCCCGTCTTCTAGAACCAGCGCCGTCTGCACATTCTTAAGTGGCAGAAGATAGCAATGAAGGCGACGCCGAGGTTATCAGAAAGAGAACCCAGGAAACGGATATGTGTTTCGTTAAAAGAACGGGAGTATTTTTTACGCGCTAATTACAGAGCTCCACAGAATAAACGAGAAGGTCAAATACAAGTACATTTGGAAATTACTTATGGGGACGGAGTGAGAATGGAGGAAGATTGTTTGAGAGAATTCAAATATTTCCACCAAAGGGGGGGGGGGGGGTATATTAATCGAGGTAAAGCTATACGGTTTAACAAATGCACGAACGAGAGATTGAAGAATACTAATGCAGATCATAGATCATAACTCACCTGCGCACATGCAAAAGGAAGACCTTTGTACGATGAAACGATCTGTTTAAACTGAATCTCTTTACCCACAACCTTGGAGACAGCATACACTGCACACAAAAGCATCTGTAATCAGAAAATAACAATCATCTTCCATTAACAGAAACTACTTTTTTGGAAGAGTTGTGAACACTGATTAGAAAGCCTTATCGAATGAATGTTGAAGTACACAGGGGGTTCTAGCTCGAGTGAAGTGGCTGGAAGCATGTTGGGTCTTTCTATCAATGATTGGCACTGTTCAGGCCAGTGAAAAAATATGTACAAGGTTGGTTTATCACAATGTAAGACATTGTCAAAACTCGTGAATGGAGACACCTAAGGATCATCATGGCAGGGGTGCACACGTGGAGGTGCTGAGCTGTAGAATGCATTAAAGAGCCTGTTATGTGTGAAGCCTTGGAGCCGATGGCTCATAGCTGCCGGAGCTTATCCCGGTTTCTGTAGCATGAAGCGGCAAGGAGTATTTCTACTCTCCCTGGACGGGATGCTAGTCCATCCCAGGTCACTCCCCGCAAATTGTTAGGTTTCCCCAACAATTTGCCGGTACCCATTTATACTCCTGGGTGGAGAGAGTCACTGTGAGAGTTAGGTGTCTTGCCTAAGAACACAACACCGTGTCCCCGGCCAGGACTCAAGCCCGGCCCGCTCGCTCCGGAGACGAGCGCACTAACCATGAGGCCACCGCGCCTCCCACAAGAGCCTGTCATACCTGGTCCAAATGCCGGTCCTTCATCAACTGCCAGTGAAGTCTTAGTGACTGCTCCAAGCACGTCCACATGTGACCTCGCTAAAACACAGACAATGACATGAATAAAATGATATCCTGAACACAAGGGCAGTTCGTACTCTGCTGTCATTCACAAAGCTACCAAAAACAAAGGTTCTACTACGTCTAGTCACATTTAATAGGGAGCTCAAATACTGACGAGGGCGACCCCGAGGACAACGCCAAAAAAGAGTGAATTTATATTTGTACCTTCAAATTTTGCAATTGTCCAGATCTGTTTATTGCACCTATTGGTCTCAGAACTTGTTCAGGTTAAACATGTAATGCCAGCGTCAAATTCCAAAAGTAAAGTCATTTTACGTTCAACTTGTTGTTTTGCAGAGGACGGCAAAGAAATGTACAAAGATTTACAACGCACGTGCACTATTGTCCAACACTCACCAGTTCATCGTCTACTTCAAGTTTATTGCAAAGTGATGTTAAACGATTGTAAGCCAACTGGTTCACTGCCGAAAAAAGGAAACAAGCAAAAAAACATGATAAAAAAGAAAACAAATCAACATCGTCACAAGCAGGTCGGCAAGATTGATGTATATAATTCCATCATGTCACGTTTGTGGAGCAAAGAAAAATCTCAGTGTCCAACATGCTTCAAGCCAATGAAATCTGAGATAGCGGTCAAGCGAACCAGTCACTGAGCTACGCCTCATGGTTAGTTCAGCTAATTTACTAGTTATTAATGTACATCTCAGAAAACGTCTTCTAAAAGCATACCATCTTGATTTCCACTCCTGTAATGGCGTGTCTTATGGGGGCCAGATATAAGGTGATGATTGTATCAACACTGAGAAGCACCTAAATAACTAGTATCTTGAAACTAACCTTTTCTTAAGAACAGATTTAGAGGCTGGGATTTCTTTCGCTGTTGACCAGAGTTGCTAAACACAGATGAGAAGAAAGATGTTACAACAACATGGAACATATTACTTTAGTGTGAAAAATGGAAGTACAAAGACACAGACATCAAAACAACATCTTCGTCTCCTACATCTGTCAATAGCCTGACAATGAAAGTAAAATAAAAGAATTTGGAGAAGTAAAAGGATTTTGTGCTTTTTTGCTCATTAGACAAAAGACGTTCGTATGCGACAGTAATACCAATTAACTAACGCGTAGAGTGTGGAAGACATGACGGCCCCATGTTTAGTGATACGTGTCAGAGCGCTGCCCAGGGTTATTGTGTGAGGCTTTGAGTGCGTGGACTACTTACTTGCAGTCGACCTTTTCTCTTAGGGCCTGACGAGCGTGAACGCCAACACAAAAAATGTGACATGGACGAGAAGGGGTGTTCTCGTGGGCGCCGTGCCCTTGGCTCGTCTAAAACACTTTGCTGTTCAGTCCCTTTCTCCAGACAGCGTAACCTGAGGCAGCTTGACACAATGCTGAGGAGTTATCGAACATGCAACCTACACCTTGCCGCTTCAAAGTACAGAGACCGAGAGTAAATACTGGCCTGTTGAGCTTATTGGCTCTATAAAGGACAGACATTTACTTAAAAATACAAACTAATAATATTACTAATAATATTATTGCCTTGCAGCGCCCTCAACCCCCCAAGTACTTACATTGTTGCTGGATCAGAATGCGGGTAGAAAGCCTCCAGTGCTGTCAGAAGTGGCGAACCCTGGAATAAAATGTAGGCGTACGGACATAAAAATGCAATTGGCAATATACTAACAGACCACGTACAACGTTGTGTAATAACATGTTAAACCATGGATAATTTTACTTTCTATAGGGTTCGTAGTCAACTAATTATCAGATATGGTTACTCGGGGCTCCAGAATGGTGAGGTATCAAGGAATTCTAACGAGTCAATAGATACGAGTCTCACCAAATCATCAGAATTTGTCTTAGTAATTTGTCACGTGAGGTAGCCTCCATTATCAGAACACTGCTAAATTGTGGTTCCCACACTTACGTTTTTCGTAAAAAAACAAAGAAAAAAGCCTCACCGGCTTTTATCTCACTTACTGTTGTCCAAGCCAAACTCTCTAATACTTGCTCCTCAATCCTATTTAAATGCTGAAAAATATCAAGATGAACGGTTGGTTTCAAAAAATCTCAAGTTATACTGGTAGTGCACGAATCCAGACGAAACAGAGTACAGTATACCACAAATGTACCACGGCCTTGTCTCACCTTCATTAAATTGCTGCCAAGAAGTGGCTCGTGAAGAATAAAACTTTCTATGACTTTAAAAAAATCAAATGCCTGAAATGTCAAATAACTTTAGTCAGTTATGAAGGAACGTTCATTAATCTGACTTAATAAACTATTCAATTTTCCCAGATTAAGTATGATCAATTAGTTACTAAACCCACACCACTGCAAAATGAATTGTGACTGAATAATCTTTGAAGTTACCTCCAAATTCAAAATTCTGAGAATCCAAGGAAATGCTAGAGTTGGCCCTGAAAAGGAAAGTTTTGAAAATGAGACCAAAAGACCAAATTAAACTAACAGATTGTTTCTTTGCTACAAGCGTCAAAATGGAATTTTGGTGGTCATCTGCCTGAAAGCTAAAAATCGTCATCACTTCAGGGCCGCAAATAACTGTTTTCTCGTGAAAGGACATATGTCCTACTAAGACACCATCTTGGTCGACAAATTGTGGTCGGACATCACCAAAAAAGTAAGATTTACTCAGGGTAGATTTTCGTTCATCCTTATCGTAACACAATTTACGATACAAAAAATTGTCCAGACATCACGTCTGACCACAGCTGGGATTTCGTCAGACACAAGCAAATTTTGGTCGGCCAATGTCTGACTGTTATTTGCAGCCCTGCACTTGATCACTTTTTTCAGCGCCCAAACAAAACCATTGATGCCTAAATTGCCCAAAGAAAGCCATTTCAACAGATGCCTGAGATCAATCGTTATATGATGGAATTACAATGAAATACTTCACCATTCCACAAAGAAGACCACTATTGTACCAGTGCTTTAAAACATAAATTATACAGCTACACACACGCAAAAAAGTGACATACATGGAAGTCCTTTTTCAGCCATTACCACTTCAAGTGAGCAGGCCATGAGAGAAATGTGAAATGCCTTACTGTTGAGCAAAGCACTGAAAAAATTAAGCAAAAGTAACCAAGTTAGTCTTTATCACCGTTATAGAAGAGAAAATCATAAGTAGATCTCTGTAATTTAACAATAAAGTAGAGTAAAGTGAAGCCTTGGAGCTGATGGCTCATAGCTGCCCGAGCTTATCCCGGTTTCTGTAGCATGAAGCGCTAGGAGTATTTCTACTCCCCCTGGACGGGATGCTAGTCCATTGCAGGTCACTCCCCCGCAATTTGTAAGGTTTCCCCAATAATTTGGCGGTACCCATTTATACTCCTAAGTAGAGAGAGGCACTGTGAGAGTTAAGTGTCTTGCCCAAGAACACAACACCGTCTCCCTGGCCAGAGCTTGAACCCGGACTGCTCGCTCCGGGGACGAGCACATTAACCATGAGGCCACCGCACCTCCCAATTTAACAATAAGCATTACCTGAAATCACTGCAAGATAATCTTTTCTCCTCCTGAAAGGTAATGTGTACACAAAATTTGAAAAGTTAACTAAAAAAATCTCCTCCTATTTTTTTCTTCTTTCTCAACATTTTTCCCTCCTTAGAATTAAAGGAAACCAATACTACAACCAAAAAGCCAATATAGTATACTACAACCAAGAGCCCAGGCCTGGCCAGTGTTCTTTGGACCACTTGGAAATTATGGGACAAGCACTGCTGCATTTCAACAAGAGTTCAATAATGTCTGGAGTTGTGAATCGCTTCTGGTTTTTGACAAATTCAAATTAATCTTTTATAACTTATGCTTAATTTTTAGTACCACTTCAAAATAAAATAATCATTAGCTCACCGCTAACAGCATGGCTTCCATTACTCTATAATACAGCTTCTTTGTTAGGACAAAAATCTGCAAAGGAATATTACTTTGGTTAACTTGAACAACTCCAAGGATAGCAGCTAACCGTCAACTTTACAAATTGATTTTATGTAAAGCATGATGATCGCTTGAGTGTGATTGTTGGGTAGAATGTTTCAATCAGTAAACAGTTTAATAGTAATGTGGATGTCAAAGGTTTGCACAATGCTTCCATTGGCTCCTTGGAAGTCCTGGGAGTTTGCAAAAGGACCTGGTAACGTTCCATCATATATGCAGTTACAGTGCAGTGAATCACAGGTGCCTTAAGATCAAAAATCAATTTCTTTTCTGTTAACAAATATTTCAAAATACTAAAATATTTACCTGAATTGAAATATTACTGTCTTCACTAACTGCGGCATCATTAAAACTTTTTATAAAACAATCCTGGACAGCTGAAAAATGAACATGAATTCCGTTGAACGTACAATATTTACAGAGGTCAAAATTATAGAATTAAAAAAATTATAATTATGTACAGTCCTCACCAATTAGTTGTGACTGTATACAGTTTTGAGGATTTCTTTGACAACACTAAAAGAGAAAGAAAACCACTATTATAATAAAACAATAAATAAAAAACTGTTTACATCCAAATTAATTAATGGCTGAGCCAAACTACAGGGCTCGACTTTCAGGAAAAACCTTAGGGCCGGCTGACCCCTATGTTGTCAGTCTCCAGCTTTCATTGAGAAGCGTGGAAAGTTAGTTGCCAATGAAAAAAATTTGGTCGCATTGGTGATCCCAGTGGTTGCAACATTGATCGAGCTCTGAACTAATGGAAGGATTAAGTTGTTAAGACAGTTCAAATGCAAAGTGCAAGTGAGTTCTTTTGCCATCCAGAATGACTAGGAAATTTGGATAGTTGGGCTGGAGTAGTGGAACACATGGAATACAGAAAACATCTAACAACTTATTTTTCTTGTAATTTGATTTTGATACAGAGAAACAAGTTCTTGATAGGTCTTCAAATCTCAGGATTAGCATCATGTTCTAATCCTGTTACTCCAAAGAATTAGAAACAAAATGTACATTAATAAAATTGTACTCACATGCCAAAATCTTATGAGCTCCTGACTTGGCATATGGCTACCAGTAAGAAGCAAAAAAGAGTATTAATCAGCATGATCAGCCTTGGTGTAGCATTGATAATTAAATGACACTTCTACATTGTTGTTCAGTAGAGTGAATGTTATTGGGGATACATTAGGGAGTTGGAGAAAATCATGAGGGCAACAGCAATGTTGCTAAACAAAAGGTTTAGCGAGGAGAACAATGACCAAATTCTGCATTGTCTGGAGAATGTGAACCACAGCAGCTATTTTTTAAAATTTCTATTTCAAATTTTTCCCTGTGTTCCGGAGTTTGTTTTTCGTGATAGTGATAAACAAAGTAAATGACTTAAGAGTATTGTAAGATTCATACATGTAGGTAAAATGTAAATTTATATTTTAATCGACATCGTCGTGGTTTCTTAAACTCGCTATTAAAAGGTTTAGATTGTCTACAAGCATAGATGACTTACGAGTCCACCACATTTAAGACATAACTCAGGCAGAGCACCTAGGATAGTAGAGTTATAAAGTTCTGTAGTTATTTACCTGGGTGGGATGCTACTCTCTTGTAGGAAACCCCTCCGTGTTTTGGATGCATTGTCCGGCAATTTCCCAGTTTCCATTTACACTAGATTCTACCATTATGATACATTTTCTTTTGAGTTTCTTATGAGAATTTGGTTCAGCAATTGAAACCATAAGTTTATTGAGTTAAGGAGGCAGCATGGCCGAGTTGGTTAGCACATGGGACTTGCAATCCAGCGGTCTCGGGTTTGAGTCCCACTCTAACCACTACCTGGATTTGTTTCACGGTAGCCCCGAGTTCAAATCCTTGGCCATGCTTGTAAATAGCCAACTGATTTGCCTCCGGCCAGCTGGATTCTTAACAATGTTATGTTCAACTTGAATTATTTGTTTCAGTTGTTTGGTGAGACCCGCTAGCCTTTGTGCTATACACACTGCTGAAGGTAAATAAATGTATATTTATTTTATTTATTTTTTATATCACTGTACCTGGCCTCCTCAAGTGTAGCTCTTAAATCAGTGAGAGATGACGGACCTGATAGACAAGGCCCTCTAAAATGGAAAACAAGCAAGCACAATCAGTAATGTGATAATACAAGCACATTACAGGCCTGGGCTAGCAATTTGTGAACAGATCATAGTATGGGTCCAAGTTGAGTTGTACTGTACTCTGAGTTGTATATGAGGTAAAAGACATACTACATGTACAAGCAAACTTCTCAGGTGGTTGAGTGGTTTGCTCCTCGAGGGGCAAAGAAGAGTCAAGAGAGTCAAGCCAACATAAAGCTGCTGACTTCAAAATATTGTGTCAACCCTGGTTAAGCTGTCCTCTGGCCCATATTACCTTGATTCTGTCGGTGTTGTGCGAGTTGTTGAAGCTCCAGTTGTATACTGGGGTTCATCATGCACAGATGAGTTAGCTACACCTCCATCAAAATTTCCCACACTGTCTGTTTCATCAAACGGTATCCACAAGTAGCCATCTCTGTCAAGGAAGTCTCTCTCATCAACGTCTCTAGACTTGTCATAAATATCTTCATACATGGAATTTAAGTCATTCACCTGGACGTGTACACAAACACAGATCAAGTCAGACCAGTCGAAGATTGGTTCAAATATACTTTTATTAGCATTATCATTCTCCCGTATTCACTTGATGTATTTTAAGTTTGACTTTGGCATGACTGTCAAGTAAGACATTTGGATCAATGCTGTGCCAGAAATGCACACATGTAACATGATAGGCTCAGCTCATGAGGCCACTGACGCTACAGTCCTGTTCATATTGATGCAAATGGGTGTGACACAGTAACAGCACATGTCTCAACCACCCTTTAAAAACTGAATGATTGAGCAATTAATTCTCAAAGAGAGCCTGAAAAAAAAAGCTGTGCACAGAGTATACATGTATTGTACATGATCCCCAGTACTTTGTGTGCTTTACAATACTTACATTGAGTAAGTCTTTTGTGTTACTCTAAAAAATGAAAAGAAAGAAGAAGATCAAACTTAAAAGGTACTGTCAGTGGTATAAGAACCATACATTGATGATCAAACGTTGAACATTACATGACTTGAATCTAAGGTTAATATGCAAAAATAATAGCTTTTTTTAGTCATTTGAAGTTTGCTGCTTAATCTACATGTAGGCCTAAGACTGTACGCTGGAGGACACTGTCAAGTGTACGTAACTTGAGGTTAGTGTACTATCGTGTTCAGTTGATAACTCAACAGACTGCAATGTTATTAACTTTGTTGGTATTACTCCATTCAGGCCATACTGCCCTTCTCACAAGTGACATATGAAGAGCACTTAGAAATCATTTGATGAAATCTAAAAGCAGACAGGACTCTCAAGCTAATGATGGAATCTGGTAGTTAAATAATGATTAATCAATAACTAATTAACAATTGTAATTATTATTATAATCATTGTAAAATAAGATAATTTATGGCTCCATATCACAGATTGAAAACATTAAAATATTATTGTACATACAAATTGTACACAGTAATCATATATGACTTCAGCTTAACAGTAGGTGTTTTACCTCACAACAGCTCTCAAGAAATGGTTGAAAGTACTCTGTGTATACTGCATTCACCTAAATCAATATAAAAATAATCATTGTTTTACACTTGTGCATTTGGTTGACTTTTGTTCAAACAGGGCTAGAATGGGATCATGTGTACTATAGGCATCTGTGGTGGAGTGCCAATCAATATCCTCCGTTGATACCCTTGATTGATACTTGATTGACAGTCAATCTACATCTCCATTGACTGAGTGTCAATCAGTGTCCACTGACATGTTAACCCAGTGTCGACCAAGTATCAATCAAGATGTCCATCAAGTGTCAATTGAGATATCGATCAAGTGTTGTTAATTGAGAGTATCAATCGACACTTGACCACCATGCCTCCACTACATGTACTGTACATGTACAGTGTAGGTGGAAAACACTTTGGAGTAATACTAACTACTGGGTTAACACAGTGAAAACCTCTGCAAACAGACAAAGTCATCTTGCAATAAAACATGGTCAACAGTCACACTTGCGATAGTCAAGGAACCTTACTTGTGGTGATAAGCAGAGATGAAAACTAGCACTTATCCATTTACCCAAGCAAATCTCAATCATTTTGAGTAAGAATTCAATAACAATTATTGTTAGTTTTTGGTGTATTTCTTAAAACCACTCTGATCCAGATGGCAATTTTCAAGCCATTAAAATCATGGATGTAATTAATAAAAAGCTACAGCTTGTAACAGGATCATGACACTTCATTGACAGCAGTTGACCAAAATGTACTTATTGCATGTATGTGCATACCTCGGAGTAAGGAACATTTGACTCTTGGCAAAGATCTGGAAGAATCCCATGTTCCTAGAGACAGAATTAAAACATGCAAATTACATGGCAACATATACATACATACTCTGAGTGGAATAAACAATAATACATTATGCAGAATCAAAGGAATAATCATTGATAACACGAGAAAGAAAATAAAGACTCTAACCAGAATTCCATTTGTCTCCAAGAGACCTGTGTTTGAATAAATGAAAAATAGAAAAAAAGATTGACCATCACTAATAGACCATATTTCTATTCTGGGTATTGGAGTGGGTATTGAACTTTCAACTAAAGCTAATGCAGGGGAAGGGGTGGCTTTTAACCAACATTTTTATGGTGTGAGTGTGAAATAGTTTGCCTAATAACAGTATGACAAGGACCCTGACTAGCCTGGAAGAACTTTAAACAGCTTATTCACAGTTTAGACCAGCATGCCTATGGATTCTATGACCTGGCGCAGCTACACATACATGTATGTAATTACAATCATGATAACCTGTGGGTTGCTGTTTGAAGAATTGTCTGTGTACATAGTCCACACAACACAATAAGAGGTTGAATGCTGTCACCAGGTCTGTCACTTGCTGCAAATGCCAGCCTGAGGCACATTAAAATTAAAAAAAAAAACAACACTTCAATAACACAAACACATAATTTAAGTCTAGGTCCAGTTAAATAATTTATCTTTAAATTCTGGTAGTATGCCCTAGGCTTATACAACTTAGTTTGAGTGGGATTAGGAATGGAGAGAGAGAGCTGATATCTGAGGGCATGAAGTAAAAGTAAACTTAACTTTAGACACNTTAACCAATCAGCGCACATATTTTCTTAGGGCTGTTTTCTAATAATTATCATAATCTAGTAGGAGATAAAAATCATACTGTTTGAAAAAAACTAATTTCTAAACCAAAAGAAAATTTAAATCACTAAAGATATCCAAGACATCTATACATACAACTAGAGAACTTTACTTAAAAATCAATACATAAATCAATATCATTAAAAAAAATGAAAACATGAAAATTGATTCAGAAATTACTGTCCACAAGAACCTGATAATAATAATTTTTCTGTTTTTCCACAAATGTTACTATTTAAGTGAGCCAACAGTGAAATTAATTAGCATTTTTAAATAGTGGCGAGGCTTAAGGGAACAAAACAAATTAGAATAGCATTGAGGTTAAGGGATAAATGTAAATGTAAATGTAAATCTTATTTACAGTGGTCATGCACTTAGCTATACAAGCAATAACCTTAGCTAGTTTATAGGCATGCCACTGAAACAAAGGAAACAAATATTTTAAATAAACATAACATAGTTAAAAATCCCAACTGGCAGGAGGCAGACCAGTTGCCTATTTACAAAGCGTGACCAAGGATTTGAACTCCGAACAACAGAGAAACAAATCCCGCTGGTGGCAGGGTGGAGGCCTTGAACGCGGAACCTCCGGATTACACTACCAGCGCCCTAAACTACTCGGGCACACTGCCTCCACAATAAATTAGTCTCTTAAACCTGTGCACCTATCAAAATTTTATTCATTCCAAATTGGCCTTTTGACATGGGTTGCATATGTACAGCTACAGTGTACCTCATTTTGGCCACTTTCAGGAGTTTACCCATGGAATGAGTCGTTGCAGTTTCACTGGCCTGGGCAACTTTAAACCTGTCAATAAAAAAGAGTCACAGAAACATTGATCAACAAAATATCTCCACTGTTTGGCTTGAGTGCGAGTGCATGTATCAGGAGGGTAACAAACGACTGTATTTTCTCTGTATGTTCTCTTTCTTCATATTAACATTTACATGTTAATATGTTGCTGACTTTGCCCACAGCACATTTACATGTACATGTACATTGTCTATGTGCTTAATAATTAATGATTTGTCTTCTGCTGATTCTCTTCAGTAGTTTAACTTCTATTTACAAGTGCATGTTTTTATAACGAAAACAAAAGCTAATCCTCAGTTACTTACTTTTCGTGGCAATTTGTGACATAAATAGCGCATATAAACCATGGAATTAAGGCACCCTATAACAGGAATGGGAGATAATTGTGTATGGAATTAGTACAAAGATTTTGTTATTATAATATTCCAAAAACCTTCCATAATAGACAATTCAAGGCGAGACAAAGTTAGGCCCACATAGAATTTTTAATGACCTTCATTGCATGGATATTTTCTGAAACTGTACATTTCACAGCTTCCACAATTTTTTTTATTTAACATTAAATATTCCTAAAATTAATAATCTATTACAATCAGTTCCAAAACTTCATGAACATGTAAGATGTCTTCATTAATCAAGTCTTCACCTGCCTTGACAACTCTACTTGCCACAAAGTCAGGGGATTATTTATTTAACCTTAAATATTCCTAAAATTAATAATTTATTACAATCAGTTCCGTACAATCAGTACGCCCTACTGTACGGTCTCCCAAAGTATCTGATTAATAGACTTCAGCTTATACAGAAATCAGCAGTTTGCCTTGTTACCC